GGGGGTGAAGGAAAATGACATATGGCGCAGATTTTGAACTATACACAGCATACAATGAACACGAGGTCATAACAGCTATAAAGATCGGACATCTGCGCTGGATGGGCCATGTTGAACGGATGTTGGAGACTGAAACACCAAAACATATATTGAGGCAAATACCAGTAGGGAGAAGGTCAAAGGGAAGACCGAAACTTAGATACATGGAACAAGATCTGAAAACACTTACCAACTGGAAAAACAAAGCAAGGAACAGAACAGAATGGTGGAAAATCTTAGAACAACAGGACCTAGAAAGGATTGTCGAGCTACTGATAATGATGATGATATTTCCCCATGCCGGGACTATATTTTAAACAGCAAAGTGCATTTTGATGTACAATAGTATCGTACACATTTGGGGATTAAACGTTGATATAGGTAGCGGAAGGGTTGGTCTTTTGTTGATAAAAGCAAACTATTAAAATCTTCGGTAAATGCCTAACTGATAGTGACGAATGGGTAACATCTGATCTAAAAAGTCAGCCAGCTCTGCTAAGGAATCCTACCTCCTACGACCACGAAGACATAAATCGCGTAATCCCTGGCAATATATGACGTATATGATGGGTCTACCTTATATAGCAGAAGGAGGAACTCTAAAGTAACATAACTGAAGCATTAAATAATAATAAAAGTATTTAATTGGTGACTTAAGTGCCAAAGTGGGAAAGAGAAACGGCAAAGAACAAGTCATGGAAAATATGGAATCGGAGAAAGAAATGAAAGGGCAAAGAGACTGTTTAGTTTACACACTATCAAAACATGCCCATTGCAAATCCATTTTTTAAGAAAAAATCGAATAGAAAATGGATTTGGGTAGAACCAAATGAAACCACTAAGAACGAAATCAACTTCATTTTAACCAACAAGATTTCTACAATAAAAGATATCAGTGTAATAAATAAATTTCAAACAGTCAGCTGTTATACAATAATCAGAGCAAAAACTTGCCTAGATCTAAAACTAAAAAGAATAAAATTAATCACAAAACCAACAGTAACCGGTCTAAATATTAACAATCTAAGAAATAAGCTAAGAAAACTCAGGTGATCACCAAAGAACAATTGATAAAAGATTACATGGCCAAATTAACAGCTTTTAATTAATGGAAATCATCCTTGGTAGTACCAAAGAAATGAGAGGCCCGCAACAACAAAATGAACATAGTAAACTATCTGATAAAACCAAAATAATGTTAAAACAAAGAAAGGAAATGAAAGTAAAGTAAATTTGTAAGACAATAAGAAAAAGTGTTAAGGAAGACATAAAAAATACAATGGAATACTGGTAGAAAATGCAATCGAAAACAAAAAAAGCGATAAGAAAATAAAAAAGCAATAATCATTGGAAAGAAACAAATCGTTACTCTAACAAACGACTACACCACAATTACAGACAGAAATGAAATAATGCCACCCGTGACTAAATTCTACTGCGAACTATACAAAAGCCCCTGAAACACTTGAAGAAAAATCAGGAACCCAGAAAAAGTCCTTCCGGATGAAGTAGAATCGGCAATTACAAAAATGGAAAGCGGTAAAGCAGCTGGAATAGATAACCTAACAGTGGAGCTGTTAAAAACTGACAAACTGACAACTGGCTGGTTAAAAGCTGGCAAAAAACCTGGAAAATATTTGCAGGCATATTTTTAGGAACTGCATTATCCAAGAGGCATTAAGTGACTAAGAATGTATATTATAAATAATCATCGAAGCATGCGTGATTTAGCTTCTCTGCGTTTATTTTTATGTATTTACCAAGAAGACTTCCAAATTTAAGATGGGATTATGATATAAGGAAACAAGCCTCTACAACATGGCACAGAAAAGCGAAGAAGCTAAAGACATGAATGGTCAGAAATGAAGAACGACTATTTAACAGAGGCTACACCATAATCGGTAGAATGATGATACTCATTTAGCTTTTGTATTGAACACACCTTTACTATGTACTGGAGTAAAATTGACGGCATTTTCCACAACACAGTTATGGCACGTTAATAGCCCAGAGCACAATAACTTAATTTAATAGAAAAAACATTTAACACCATAAATTCAATAATAAAGGAAAAGGGATCCTGGAAAAAATACTCGTGGCTAAAAAATGTAAAGACTTGAACAGCACCGAAAAGGAAGATTGTTGCAAATCAATAAACAATTAATATACCTACTTAGTGCTATCTAAATAAAACATTTTTTGATTTCTTTATGAACATATAAAATACATTATATGCAACTGGTGTAAAAAGTGTAGGTACATTGCATTTGACTTGTTGTCCAACTCACCCTGCGTGAAAGAAACACTTTTTGCCCTTGCGTTGTGGAAAATAACGAAATGTATTTTATAGATATAAATTTTTAACATCAATGTTTTAAAAAGAAAAAATAAAATGATACTTTATAGTGGAAAAATAACATTTTTCTGAAACTGCAATATTTATTTGAATTATTACTGCAACAAAAAAGATTGTTCAAGATTATAATGAAGGTTTCACGTAGAAAACCCAAAGCAAAACAAGCAAAAATACAAAAAGGTCCCAATAACAAGTTGTAAAAGCTTCCAAAATTAACAATTATGATCCGTTCTCATATTGTAGTCTTGCTAGAAAATATATAAGATCGTATTTATGGACTAAAAACTATTTATTACTGGAAGAATTTTGTATTAATTTTTGATAAGTGCTCAAGTTAAAGCTGAAAGTTAATCTTAAGCCAACATACAATCATATAACAAGAAAAGCGAACTAAAAGAGACTCAAATTTTTTTAAATACATTTAGGGAATTGGTTAGACGCAGTTCTGGTAGATTTAAATGAAAAATGAATATAGAACTGAAAGAACAAAGCAAAATACTGAAAAGACCGAAAAAATGTTTTTAAAATATGTACAAAAGTATTTACTACTATTAAGTACTATTATATCTTGTTATATATTAGTGTTCCTTTAAAACAGACTCATATTTATGGCACTACACAACATTTTCTTAGATCTTTATTATTTTATAAGGGATTTCCTGGTCATAATAAACAAAAAAATAATTTTTATTTTCCATGTAACTTATTTTAACATTTTCGAAAAAAGCAGAGAAAACACTAAAAGAATATCACAAAATAACTAAGTTAAAACAGAATCAATCAGTCAGAGAAAATTCAAAGATTTGAAAGAAAAAAGAAGCCAAAAAGAAAAAAAAACATACTAAACACTAGAAAAATATTACAAAGTAAATAATCTATAAAAGCTATCCATAATTGACTCTTCTTTGACAGAATCGATATCTCTTTTACATTATAATTTTACAAAAAACTCATATTTTTGCCAAAAACATAATATTTTGTTTCATTTTGTAGAAATAGTATCATAACAAAGTAAAAAACAGTTTTGTTTAACATTGTGATTTAAATTATAAGTTGGAAAGAAAGAAAAAACAAATAAATCTGAAAGGAAATCAAAAATAATGCACCAAGAGCCTTCTAAGAAGTACTTTTAGATGTAAATAGAAAGCAAAAACCAAAGGCCTAGAAAAATTGGTGGAGAGAGTAACAAAAAATATATACACAAAACATACTTGAGCGATAGAAGATTAAATTAATGATATTGGAACACACTAAGTGACTTAATGTATTTCACTTGATTACGAATGAACCTACCGACTGACTTACTTGTCAGTCTTGCCTTGACTTGTCCAATCTTGTAAAAAATGAATTAGTAAAATTAGAAATTAGAAAATTAGAAAATAGCAAAATGCGATCCAACGTAAAATCCTATTTTTTCCCAAGTATGGAAAAGGAAAGCCCAATGTGTCAGAAATTTTTTTTGTAAAACATTGTCTATTTCCAATATGTCTATAATTATTGCCTTTAAAGAGCAGAATGAAAACAGCGAATATATTGGAATAGATTGGATAGATTCCTGGCAATAAAACTTCAGAGGAAACGAGAATAAGAACAAAAAACACATTAAAAGCTTTCCTGTTGTAGAAAGTCACTATAATAGAAATTATTCACAAAGACTTTATTTAAAGTGCAATCTGAATATTATGCACGACCTGTTCTTGAAAAAGTGTAAAGGACAATTTTGCGAAGTTATAAATTGGAAAGAAAAAACAACAAGTAAATCTGAAAGGAAATCTCAAATAATGCACCAAGAACCTATAAGAAGTACTTTTAGATGTAAATACAAAGTAAAAATTAATGACTTAGGAAAATTGGTAGAGAGAGTAACAAAAATATATACACAAAACATACTTGAGCGATAGAAAATAAAATAATGATATTGGAAAGCCATTATAATAAACCAACAGGAAAAAAGCTGAAAAACTGTGAAAGCTTCTTGCATATTTAACCTCTTTGATACAATTGTTGCATTAGGTAGGTACATATTTATAAAATATATTTTTGTATTTATGACAACAAAAACCAAAATTTTTAATATTATTTAGAAACAATATCAAAGTAACCGAAAAAAATAAATTGTTAGTTAACATTTCAACAAACTTTTAAATCTAAATGTTGAAACATTAGATTTATTTTGAAAAAAAGTGAAAAAACATTTTTTTCGCTTTTTGTAATATTTTTTTCAAATCCATCTGAATGATTTTTAAAAAATCAGTATCCAACAAGATATTATACTTTAAAAGCTTTAGCGATTCTTACATTTACGATTTTTTGACACATTTTTTACAGTATGCATTTAAAACTAAATAAATTGATATTTATTACAAAACTGTAACGAATGTTATCATAGTTAACAAACAAATTTATTTATTTGTGCATTTATTAAACTTTTACTAAACAAACTCTAGATCTCAAAGCAAAAATAAAATTTTTCCGTTCTTATAGTATTATTTCGAGGAAAAAAATACAAAATTAAAAGTTATTATATTTCGTAAAATTTCCTTTGGTATTTGTCTTAAAATTTATTTAATTCTTAACGCTTCAAGTTCAATAAAAAAATACGTACCTTGTGGTTTGTCGTTGAGCGCAATACACGAAAAAATAACCCGTGATAAAAAAAGTCACACCAAAAACACGATCACTGAAATGTTGCGAAGAGAGGTGGTGGGCTGCGTTTTATAGCTTTCCGTCCCCACTCGATCCTCGCCGCTGTGAGACAAAGCGTTCAACAGGCCCCAAGGGTTCGCAGGACACGACCTGAACGCATCTCTTCGACCCGGTGCTCTTCTTCTGCTTTTGCAGAAGAATTAACTTTGTTAGATTTAAAATAAGTTTGGTAAAAATATTTATTTTTGGTGTATTTTGTATATAATATATATCCAAACAACAGAATACATAAAATAATTCTATTTCGAGTGATTTTAACATCGACGATATTTAATTATATCAGTTCGAAGGATTTAATAAGTATATTACAATTTTATTTAATAATTTAGAGTTCTGTTGTATATATGAGTATTTTTATTCACTTACAAAGCATTCTCTTAATTTTTTCCAATTTTGTTAGATCGGAAATAACATAAACATTTCTTCTTCCTGCCTCACACATACTGACAATTTTGCGAGGTTTAACGTATAAGAACTTTATATGGTATTTATTATTATTATTATTATACATAAGCGAGGGCAGAGGAACCAAGTCCCTATTATGTCCAAAAACATAGAAATTTCATTAATAACCTACTAGTAAATAACAAAATTACAAATAAAAGAAATAAAATTACAATTTTTGGTTTAAAAGAAAAACAACATTTGAACTTTAATATAAAACGGTTAAGTCTGTTTTTGAACGAGTTGGTAGAGGGAGCAGAGACAATGTTATAGTTAAGGTTATTCCAGCACTCAAAAACTCTATTTGGTAGAAAGTTCTGTCTTGATCTGGTAGAAAAATTTTCTTTCTTTAGTTTAAACTGATGACCTCTGAGGCGTTTATCTTGATTAATGGTAAACATTTCATCGAGATTTCCAATATTGAATTTTAGTATTTTTAAAGTTGTAATTAAGTCTCCATGTTGTCGGCGAAGTTCAAAAGAAGTTAGGTTAGCCATATATAAGTCTTTCTGCATAAGGAGGTCTTCTTGGCCCCAAAGAAATTCGAATAGCTTTTCTTTGGACGTTTTCCAATAAAGTCTTGTCTCGAACCAGATCAGGATACCACGTTGGTCCAGCGTATTCAAGTATGGGTCCTACGTACAGAGTGTAAAATTTACAGAATGATTGCATTGAAACACACCTACGAATAAGATACAGTCTGGAGTGCGCACGTTTACAAATAGAGGTAATATGGTCGGACCAAGTTAGGCTGCTATTTACGATAACACGAAGATCGTTTACGAAAACACAGAATCTAATGGCTGCCCAGATTTTCCCGAGTTTAAGGGTAGTAACCACTGGGAACACCAAGTTAAAATTGAGTCCAAATCCATTTGGGGGTTAGCTGGTTTGTGATTGGATTGGCATATATTTTTGTGTCATCGGCGTAGAACGATATTTTACTTGAGTTAAAATAAGGAACATCGCTGGTGTAAACCGTAAAAAGCAGAGGTTCAACGACAGAACCCTGAAGTACTCCACTTTCCACTAAGCTGTCTTGTGAGAAAGATTCTTCAACTCTAACTTTGTAATATCGATCTGTCAGGAAATCATCTATCCAACGAAGTAAAGCACCGCGAACTCCGAAATTTTCTAGCTTATGTAAAAGTCAGCGCTTAGGTACAGAGTCCAAGGCTTTAGAGAAATCTAGATAAACAACGTCGATCGACTGCGAACTGTTAAGGGATAACGTCCAGTCGTTAACACAATGTAAGAAATTGGTTAGAGTAGAGCAACCAGAGACAAATCCATACTGTTGTGTTGGAATAACATGTTCCTGGAGAAGGAGTTTGGTCATCTCCTCGGAAATGATGGATTCCATAACTTTGGCAACTAACTACGGGCAGCAAGCTAATCGGACGATAATTGTTGGAGTCGAGTTTGTTGCCTTTTTTTTAAATAGGGGTAACGGAAGCTAATTTACAACTACTTTTAAGGAGTTCTGGATGAAAGAAGTTTGCATAATTAACGTTAAGGGTATTGCAAGCGTGTCTGTGCAATCTTTTTAACACTTTCAATAACACTTGCTTCAAAATTTTGTCTTAGGGTTTTTAGAGAGGTATTTTTAAGTTATTTGAAAATCTGCGGTGGCTTTGGAAATCACTGAGAAGCCCGGTGTGTCCAAATTTTCGCCATAGATGTCATCTGTGATTAATTTGTTTAATTGCTGTTCGATTTATCCAGGGTTTAAGGTTGTTTTTATAACTCTTAAGGAAAGTGGTATTTGTAGAAATTATATTGTGGACTTTATCGAGAAATGCAGAGGAAGATTCTGTTACTCTTCTAATTAAAATATTTTTAGCATGTGTTATGCGATCTACAGCTTCGTTAGCAATATTATCCGTGAATTCGGTAGACTTAAATAAATGTGACGTGTCAAAAGCACTTTTTAAATCTACAAAGCACATGTATGTTGGTTTTCCATATTTAATAGATTTCTTTATTATTTGTCTGATAAATTAATGAACTGAAGTATTTTTATCAGGAAATTCTATTACAAACATTGATTTATTTTTGAGGTAGTTAGTCTAGAACATTAATGAATATTTTTTGCATTGATGTATGTTCCTATATCGTTTTACTAAGGTATCTAGGAACTCATTAGCTGTTCTTTTTTAATGTAATGTCTAGACAGGCAATAAAGTAAACTAACTAAATTTTTAGACTTTACACAAACTTACTGTAGATGAGTGTTTGCACATCTCACTATGATTTCTTATTTGGCGAATTCACCAAACTTTTAAGTTTCCGGTTGACGGAAGCAAAACTAGAAATGCAATACATATTGTAATTAGTCTGAGCATTCATTTAAAAAAAATTAAGAAAATGTATTTTATATGGATAAAAGTAATATACAAACAGTAATAATTTTAGATAACTAAAAACTTTGGTTCTTTTTGGGATAAATTGTACACTTCAAAAAATTCGTTTGTTTCGCTAATATTAATTCATTTATTCAATTCCCAAAAACTTTCTAAAAACTGACAAAATCTATCGTGATGTATAATTAGGTTTTTTTAATATATTTACCAATCTTTGCAAAATAAAAAACAGTCGAGAAGCATTTCCTTTGTATAATAACTATATTAAGGTATACAATTCAATACTTTTAAAATTAGGAGAACGACGATTTTATAAAACTTCAGGCATGTAAAGACTGTAGATATGTAACTTTGTGAGTCTAATGGTCATTGCAAGAACATCAAGCTATGGTCTTTGCAGCCCTATATTATGTCCTTCTCGTCAAATATACCTTGAGACTTGGTCTTTTTGCTATTAGACTCCATTATTAAGATGAATTTTTTAAATAAAATTGTTTTTATGTAGCAAGTACAAAATTAGCCTGTTACACATTAAAAAAAAAGTACATGGGCGTGCTGTGCTCCCTTAGCAACGGTAGTAAATTTAAGTACCATAACACGAATCTCTTGTGAAATGAAAAATAAAAATTAATATGCTTCTACTTCCTTTTCGACGCCTAACAATAACAACAAAAGAATGAGATCTGCCTCAAAATCCAACTAGGACGATTTTGTGAGAGGTTTCTTCGTCGTGTACTACTAAATTTTTATGTCACGGAAAAATGAGTTCCTACCTTGCCACACATAACAATTTTTTTTTTGATTTTTGATGGCAATATTAATACACCGTCACATGCAACTTAACGAAGTTTCAGTTATGAGAGATATTTGATTACCTGATATACAAGTGCTTCGGAGAAGTTTTCCAATTAGAAGCGACTATATTAAGATATGTCATGTTTTGGTCAAAAAAGGTTACAAAGGTCTTACACAAAATGCATTTACTTACATCAATTGGCAAAAAAAGCTTTCAGAGGAACCTCAATCATTCTTAACCATTGAATATAATGTGAATTGAGATTCAGATCAATCGGATTTAGAAGATCACCCAACTAATTTGAGAACAAGGTTTTTCGAAATTTAAATTATTAAAGACCAGGCTTCGATTTTCGATGAGAAATGAAAATCTGCAGAGTTTTCTTATGATGCAATCAAAAAAGAATTGATGTAAGTTATATTTAGTTGCCTTGGATCTAAGAGATAATTCATGCGGCACAAAACAGAGAAACCTATCGTATGATGGTCGCCAACCATCGGTAGAAGACGGCACATAAAGAAAGAAAGGATCTAAGAGCTTATCGCTTCAAAGGGAGTATAAAAAATTTCTCTTTGTGGTGATCATCATCATCATCATCATCATCAATTAGCCTATATTTGTCCACTGCTGAACGTAGGCCTCCCGTAAAATTTTCCACCTATTTCTGTCTTGAGCTTCTTGCATCCAGTTTGTGGTGATGCCCTTGATATCATCCGTCCATCTAGTCGGTGGTCGACCTCTGCTTCGATATGCATCTTGCCTTGGTCGCCATTCCAGAATCTTTTTGATCCATCTGTCATCCGTTAGCAACATGTCCGGCCCAATCCCATTTAGCTCTGGCTATTTTTTCAACTGCATCTGTGACTCCTGTTATTCTTCTTATTTCTAGGTTTGGTACTTTATCTCTGATGGTATTGATTTTTACATAGCGCGTTGTGTAACTCTTATTTTATCTATTGTTCTTTTTGTCAGAGTCAGTGTTTCTGCACCATATGTAAGAACCGGTAAAACGCACTGGTTAAAAACATTTCTTTTTAAACAAACTGGGATACTAGACTTGAAAATGTTATTCAATCTACCAAAGGCAGCCCATGTGAGACCCATCCTTCTTTGTATTTCAGTTGTCTGATTATCTCGGCCTAGGCGAATCTCATGCCCTAGATATTTGTAAGCTATTACTTGGTCGATGCTATGGCTCTCAATCAGAATTTAATCGCTGGCTACATGGTTGGTCATAAATTTTGTTTTTGAGGTGTTAATTTTAAGACCAATTGCTTTTGACACTTTATAGAACGTGTGCAGCATTTTTGTAGCTTTATCAACTCTATTAGATATTAAAAGGATATCATCGGCAAATCTTAGGTGGTTCACA